ATACTTCAAAGCGGGCGCCCGGTTCTGACCCAACAATGACCAAAGAACAAAGTAAAAAGACATCACATAAAGGCAAGTCTTTGAAAATGGGTTTTAACCTCATTTCTCTCTCATCCAGGACCTGGTGAACGGGTATAACTGCGTGTGCGCTCCGGGTTTCGCCGGCGAACTCTGCGAGAAAGACGTGGACGAGTGCTCCAGCGGGCCGTGCCTCAACGGCGGCCGCTGCTACGACGAAGTTAACGGCTTCCGCTGCCTGTGTCCGCCTGGTTTCTCTGGAAGTCGCTGTCAGGTGAGCTGACGCTAACCCGCTAAACAAGACTTCTAGTCCAATGATCCATCACTTAAAACTGTAATATGTAACATTTCTGCTTTTAATGTCTACAAACATCTGTATTCTATTTGCTGTGTGTAACTTTACTCCATGTCTCTGTGGCGAGGTTCTGAGCCACATATCGTTTTATAAATACACTATATTGATATTCATGTATTAGTTATTGATTGTCCAGAAAGTTATCAATATTGTCATCAACATTTAGGCTCTGACATCCTCTCAAAGGAATGTTGGCGATGTGGCTGGTTACCGTGGTGACGTACAGGCGTCATAGGAACAGTATAACTATTGAGTGTCATTTTTCACTGATGGATTGTTCTCTCTGTCCGCAGCTGGATATCGATTACTGCCTCCACAGTCCGTGTCAAAACGGCGGCCAGTGTTTCAACCTGGCGGCCGACTACGTCTGCACGTGTCCTGAAGACTACGAGGGCAAGAACTGCTCGCGCCTGAAGGACCACTGCCGCACCACACCCTGCAAAGGTTCGGCTTGTGTTCATTTATTCAGAATTTAAATTCATAGCAAGGTTTTTGGAAAGGATTTTATACTATATATTTAGTGGCATCTAACAAGATTGTAACTGATTGAACTCAGCTCGGCCTTCCAGACGCGTACGAGAAACTACGGTGGCCGCGAAATGTGCAACATGTGTGTTTAAGGCAAAAGGCCCTATCTTCAGCCAGTGTTGTGAAAGTCCATGCTCGCTTTGCGGGACTGAGATACACATCATTATTACAAATGGAGTACGATTGGTTGAAAAACATGGCCGTCATTAATCAAAATATGGTTGTGAGGCCATAACTCATGAACCATGTGTCTAATCACCATAAAAGTCGGTGGATATCTTCAGATTGTGATTGAGAAGAAGTCCACGCCAGCATTTTGTGCTCAACCCATAGGGGGCGCCACAAATGCCTCATTGATTAGTGAAAGTGGGCGTGGTCTATCACATATTTGCTCCCAACTCAAATAGTCTTTGAGCATCCTGATTAAACTCACTGGAGTTTCGTTCACATTGGATAAAGAGTGGGGCGAATGGCGAAACTTTGATTGTGCCATTATTGAACTGCCTCCGTTTAAACGGAATTAAACAGCCAAGAAACAGTTCAATACAAAACCCCTTTCACAGACCAGCTCACATTACTGTCCACAGTCAGTCCTCTTACCCTCTCTTTGTCTCCTCCTCCTCTCCAGTGATTGACAGCTGCACAGTGGCAGTGGCGTCCAACAGCACACCGGGCGGGGTGCGTTTGATTTCGTCCAACGTGTGCGGCCCTCACGGGCGATGTCGGAGTCACGCTGGCGGACAGTTCAGCTGTGAGTGTGAGGAGGGATTCACCGGAACGTACTGCCACGAGAGTGAGTACATGAATGTGCTGCTTTAACTGAACTGATGACCGATTATAAAATGTAATAACATTATTTCTTTCTCTGCCTCAGATATAAATGACTGTGAGAGCGCCCCCTGTCTGAATGGAGGAACCTGTATCGATAAAGTCAGTCAGTATCAGTGCATCTGTGCTGACGGATGGGACGGACCTACCTGCCAGAACAGTGAGTGCTCCTCTTCCTCACTCTTCACCCTCAGCTGCAGCAGTAGAGATGTGCTTTGACGTTTGTTTTGTTTTGTTGTGGCGCAGACATCGATGACTGTAGCTCCGCCCCCTGTCAGAACCGAGGCGTCTGTCGAGATCTGGTCAACGATTTCTACTGCGAGTGCACCAACGGCTGGAAGGGAAAGACCTGTCACTCCAGTAAGTGTGTGCGGATGGTGGTGAAGACAACAACTCCCATGAGCCCACGCTGCTCAAGGTCAAGGCAGATGACCACCCATCTAGAGCCGAAGGGTCTGTCCGAGGTTTCTGCCTCTTAAAAGGCAGTTTTTCCTTGCCGCTGTCTCCAAGTGCTTGCTCATGGTGGTACTGT